CCCCAATCTTACGATGTTTGCGTATTTTTCCGTGATCAGTTGCCGTGCATAGTTTCAAGCATCCATCTTAGGGAGCACCAGAATCGCTCTCACCTCAGATGGCCACCATGTTGGTATTGCTGACGGTAGGAAATAAGAAGATTCGAAAGTAGTACAGTCTCTGGCGGTATAATGTTTGCAGTTTTATGAAAATCCGTATTTTTTTCAGTTTAAGTCACAGATATGATAACAAACTTTCTAGTTTGACTTGTAATTAAGGACAGAATGCTAACATTGTAAAGTAAGATAAAGAAAAAAAAAAATAACCCTTGAGTTATCCGGTTGTTTGCTCGCCTGGGGTCGCAAGTCCGGTAGCTGTTAGAAATAATAATGTAAACTAATATATTGTTCATTTAAACGACATTGTCTGTGTAACTCGGATTACATAGAATCGAATAATTCTATGATAATCAGAAATAATTGGAATGGATGTGAATGGAAGTGGTCGTGGCTTAATTTTAAGGTCCACTCCTGATATTTGCCTAGAGAGACTGAAAAACCGAGAAGAACATGAGCCACGGTAATGAGCGTCCCAGCCGTTCCTCGGACCGGGTACCTCCCGAACACACGGCAGTAGTACTACAGCTTGAACTAACTTCTTTGGTAATCATAAATTCATTTATAAACAGAATGACCACCTGTCACTTGAAGACCAACTGCAAAACGTTGTGAACATTAAACACGAGAGAATGTTAGCAAGGTACGGTTTCATATAATATTACATGTAATAAGAACGTAAAGTCATCCCTGAGCTTAACTAATTAAGCACTACGCCATGAAGACGTATGGGGGAGTGGATGTGTAGATCCACGTTTTCTTGACCTCGGCACTAGGTGGAGGTGAGTGGTCAGCTTCACGCCCCGGTCGCTTTACCCCTGGGGAAAGGGTCACCGGTACCCATTGAATAGGATGTTGGGTGGGTCCCAGGGCCGGTCTGCACGCTGCGGAGAAGAGAATTTTTGACACTACCAGGCCTCGAACTCCGATCTTTATACCGATCGCGCTATCCCGGCTCTAGTAATGCGATATTTTCTATGCCAAATTCCTTTTAAATCAGTGATTTTTTCATTGAAAAAATAGATCACAAAGATAAAATAGCATTAATGTATCTAAGATATAAACATGTTCTTTAGATTGTATTGCAGTTTGTATCCTAAATAAATTGTATCGACGAGATGCATTGAGAACGCATTTTTCCTGTTACTTTAAGTAGAAACAAGAATGAGCCAATATAAATCAGTTTGTAGTTTATTTTGCAACTTAGGACATACCCATACCAAATATCATAAAAAAACCTTGAAGAAACCGCAAAATTAAATAGTATGGCGGATGGACGGACACGTAGACTTCCTGATGCGAATTCTGCATTACCGAATCCATGCACTGACAGCAAAGAATGCATAACATAACCTTGTTACCAGGAGTTCGTTTATAACAAGCGTGGATATAAGGTTTTCCTCGTTATAACGATGTACGTTGTGGCCTTGAAAATGATCCTCGTGTACCTGCTTGCTGTTGCAGAGGGAGGTGTTGCAGCGCGATGTGGATCGTGAGAGGCGACTGCGGCTGGACACTGAGGTGCGCCTACGAGATTCCACGAGTGAGGCGGACCGTTGCCGGGCGAGGCTCGCCAGCCTCCAACGTGAGTTCGGCAGGTGAGACGCGCCACTGAGCTATCAGAACTCCACGGCTTTAGGTGGGCTAGCATCTGACACAACAGCCCCGTTCCTACTGACAGACCGACCGACTAGTAGGTTATTTGGATTCACTGGATGAACTACTGGCGTCTTTCGCGGGATTTCTTCCTTCTGCGGTGTCTAGCTATAGAAGTTAGCAATAATAATTGTCTTCAACCTGACGAGTGTTAAGCCGTAAGGCCTGTCAGGGTCTTGGGTTTCTCTTCCATCTCTTCATCGGGCGCCATGTTGATCATTTCCCATTGGACCAAGATCTTAAAATTGCTTCCAGGAATCCTTCAACATTTATTCTATTGAAATGGATCCTCCAGTTTTCTTGGTAATGTTTAATGTAATCTGGCTTTGTCTTGAGTTCCGCAAAAATGACCTCATTTCCTTTATGGTGCCACTTCGTATGACCCTCCTTTCTTCCCATGGGAAGTCGCTTAATGTCGTATAATAATAATAATAAGTGCACTAAATTCCAAAGAGAAATTTTCAGATTTCCGTACATGCTCGAGGGCGTATGTTGCCAACATATATATGAGTGTGCTTCTCGGGATAGCGCCGAAGCTGCAATAAAATACCGTATTTGCATTGATTTGTTATGGGCCAAGGGTCGATAGTGGACGCACATACAGGACGCCGTTAATGTCGGACAAGAGATAAACACAAAGAACGCGAGAAGCTCCAGTTCCCTCGCAATAACACACATTGATCTTCTGTCGCACGGCAATAAAATGCCTGGCCACCTGCGCCTCCCACCCTTTCAACCTCGGCCCCAGTAACTCTCAGCGCCCTAACGGCCGCCCCGACTGTAGTCTCTCGGTCACTTGTTCATCCTAACTGCCTAATCATACGCCACGATTTCTTGGTCCAGTTGGTCTTCCTTAACGCTGCTGCTGTGTGTATGTCTCTCTGTCACCATTTCAACTTTCGAACCAGTTGACCGATTTTCGCGAAACTTATGCCATTGTCTGTGATCTAGTGGTCAGAGTTTCATGGCTACAGATCCGGAGGTCCCGGGTTCGATTCCGGGCGCTACCAGATTTTCTGAGAAGTACTGGGTCTGGAACGGGGTCCACTCAGCCTCGTGAGGATAACTGAGGAGCTATTTCAAGGGAATGGCGGCTCCGGTCTAGAAAAACTAAATTAACGACCGTGGGGATTGGTTGCGTTGACAACGCGACACCCTCTGTCTGATAAAGTTGGCACCAACTTCGCAGACAAGCGGCATTCGCTCGTACGGTATAGTTGCTTGAGTACAACTTCTGTATTACAACCGTCACAACACAACTATATCAAAGTCAGCGCTTAGTTTTGGCTCTGCTACATGTTTCGGCTATTAATTAGAGTCATTGTTTACATTCCCTACAGAACGGACAATACTTTGTAAGATGAGGCACCGACTAAATAATAAACATTAATATTAATAGGCTACATCTTCATCACGAGCCTCCAATAACAGTTTTTTATCTATACACAGAATATAGAATACTCCAATTTGTCCGTGGGAACGCAACAAAATTACAAAAATCAACGACTGACTCGATGATGTAAAGCATCAGAATTTTATTCTTGTTTTATACTATAACTTTTGTTTTATATAATCTAATTTATTGTACTTTTACGTCTAGTATTTGATATAATTAATATTATTGTATCTAACTTTACTAGTACTGCAGTTCAGCGGTGTATATATGTTAACCATGTATTTGCCTGATGATGGCTATTAATAGCCGAAACATGTAGTAGAGCCAAACTTGGTACTGACCTTAATATTGTTGTGTTGTGACGGTTGTAATAAAGAAGTTATATATTATAACTAGGGCCCGGATCTTTATGCGCTAAAAACACTTAAAATATGCACTAAAACACTTAAAATATGCGCTAAAAAGCGGGAAAATATGCACCAAAAATAAAACAATATGCACTTAAGAAACAGGTCACTTTATTCAGACTCACCTATTTACATGTATCATTCACTGC